GTTCCTGTCCCAAGACATCGTTTTGCCTGTTATGAATGTCTAAAGAGGATAAGAAAACAAAGAAAAAAAAAAATCATCATTTTATTTAACAATCTTCCTCAATTGTTGACATCACACTGATAAAGGAAGCTGTGGAATCCCTACTGCTTGCCCAAAGAATTAATGGCTATGCAGAATTGTTCTAACTTCTCTGTCTTCTCCCTCTCAACTCTGATCTTTAAAAAGAGATTTTAGAACATATTCCAGAATGGTACCATCCTATGGAACAGATTCTACAATTAATTTAAAAAATTTTGCATCAGGAAGTTTGCATCAGGCTAGCCCTTCTGAAAAGGCACTACAAAAAGTACAACCATTTTTATTACGATTTCTACGGTTTCAGTATTAGATGTAAGGTCCTGCCTTATTGAGAATGAAGGGTTACAAACAAAACTAAAGATAATGGTAGCAGTATAGAATAGAATTCCAGCTACTACAGTTCAGCTACTAAGTTGTATCCTGTGTATTTATTCACTGCCTATTGTACGCTGCTCTAGTGCCAGCACTGTTAAAGCTGTCCACTTAGCACCAGTCATAGGTTTAGACACAGGCCTGTACCTCCACTGAAGCACTTATTGTTAATTAATGACAATTTATATCGTATGAATTAAAAAAGATGTCACCAAACCGCACTACTAAGGTCCTGCATGCTATTGCAAGAGCATGCTTCATAAAGAGTATACGAAGCAAAATAATGAATTACACTTTTCGTATTAAAAGTAAATTAAAAGAGAAATATAAATACAGAGCTGTATTAAAATTTGGGTTTGACTTTTTAAAAAAGCATCAGCCCAGTAAAACTCACAGAACTACAATGTACGACACAAGACGGGGATGATACCACAGACACCACAGACATGGAACAGCATGTGTTGGTGTTAAAACTTACAGGCACGTAAACTGGTGGAGCAATCATTAACAGAGACAGAAGAAAGTGGGAAGGCTCTCTCAAGGGTGTCCATGTTACTATGTACACTGCCTGACATGCAAGAGCAGTCACGCTCAGAGCGTCCGCAATCAAAACAACATGCCAGTTTCATTCTCTTGTAGATGGACATCTTGGCTATAACCATGTGTTGGATGGGAGGAGAGGAAGAGCAGCAGGTTAATGGCAAGGTTATATATATAACAAGGCAGCTGGAAGGTAATTTAAGGGATTTAATACAGGCCTTAGTTTATGTTAACAGTCTTGACCCAGGAAAAAAAATGAAATGAGATTATTGATAACACTTTGGCTGTACATTAAAAGTAGGGCAAAAGATAAATTGCTCTTTATTTCTGTTCAGTCTTATAGGGTGACCGCAGACATGGGGAAGAATTACTGTTTACAGTCAAGTGTTTGGATCAAAAAAGAACATAGTAAAAGCAGAGAATCCTAAGAATATATTGTTCCCTTGGCACAATTAATACTACTGGGCTAAAAAGAAAAGAAAAACCCAAAGTTGCTAATCCATTAGATATTTTTGGCCTATCTTGCGTCCTGTAAAAATCAAAGACTTTTATATATCTCTATATATATGTATGTATACACACACAAAAACACACATACACATATATTCTTACATACACACACTCACACACACATATACATTATACACATACATACATATATATACATATATATAAATTTTTTTTTAAACATATGCTAATTATTTCTCTGTATTCAACTGTGCCAGGGAACTCCTTTATTGCAATAAATTACACATTACTAAAGAGTTACAAGATGTTCATAAAATTTTCTGAAAAATTTACTTTGTTTACATTATATCTTCAGGAATTCAAATTAACTCTTGACAGAATACCAGAATTTGCCCATATAAGAGACACAACTAATAATGGTAAATATGCTTGACATTAAAATCAGTTCACAAATAAGGCATCACCAAAAGCACACAGAGCATTGGTCCATTGAAACATGCTGAACCAATCATTGGCATGTTTCCCGCTCTGGATTCAAAGGTAGATCGAGAACCAAATAACCAAATGAATGTAGAATTAGGGGCTAATTCCAAAAGGAGTGCCATGTTAGAACAGAACATTTATATCCTTCAGTCATGGAAATGTCCTTGTTATATATTTCTAGAAATATACAGCATCCTATTTTAGAAATGCAAGTTTAATTACCATTCGTGCAGTTTTGTCTGTTACCTGAATCACAGGTATGTTTAAGTCTGAAGAAATGCAAAGGCCACTTAGATTGTTTCACATGTTGCACTGAACCAACACTTTTGGTAATGGTTTAGATTGAACTGACTCATTTATACTGAAAACAAAACAGAACACTGACAGGCAAAAACAAAACCTTAAAAGCAAATGCAGAAAAAAGGTAATGTTTCTCTGGCCTGTACCTTCAGTTTAGGATGTCTTTTTTGCATTATGGTAATGACATTAAATTTAAAATCATTTCTCTTATTTTTTTTCCAGTTCCTTAGTGCCACAGTCACCAGGGAAGAGGGATTGAAATCGCTCAAATGGGTCAAGTCCTGTTCTAAGGCCTTGATGACTTGCCATACAGTATACTTGTCAAGCAAGGGTAACATTATGATTGTGGAAAACAGGCATTGAGGGAGATGAATGAGTGATCTCTTCAGCAGCGACTCCATTCCTCTAAAACTTTGCTCACATGACTAACGTCATGTTCTTTTAGCATCCTAGTAGAGTTATCTTACAGCTGTTCAGAAAGTCATCATGCAGCATCAGGCTTGTTCATTGCATGGTACATCATTCCTCAGAGCTTGGCTTTTAGTAAGAAGGTTTCCACTGCAGCTTTTGATGCATACACATTCAAACTGCACAGAAAATTCAAAACAGCATTTGTTTCCCCATGGTTTCCCTCTGTCTAACTCTTCCCAACACGTTCTTTAAAATTGAAAAGTTGGGCAGAAAAAGAAAAGTGAAATATGTTACCAAAAATGTGGAAGTCTTTCCACTATGCCTATTTTATTATTTTCACTTTAAGGAAATGAAAGAAAAATAAAGGGCATTTGTGAGACACACTAACAGTAGGTGAGGTAAAAGGCAGGCCCATTTTGTTTTAATTATAGCTGTTTTGAAGGACTTTTTCTAATCAAATGCTGTAGCAAAACACACTGCTCAGAAATTCTCAACTGCTACGTCATTGGTTAGCAACAGTCCCTGGTTTTCATTTACTTGTAGCCGTATCTTGTCAACAGTCAATAATAGGATAGGACACATTTATGAAAATTAAAAGAAATCATCCTTAAGGGCAAAGAGGGTTGGGAAGGAAAACTTTTTGTACCATTTTCATCAGACTTAAGTCAATGAAGTGGGAAATTTAAGCCCTCCTGTTCAATAGGGGAAGGACTCCATGGCGCTTCGCAAAAGCAATGCCCTTTCAGGGACTGTTTTTAACTATTATTATCAGTTGTTCTGGAGATCATGCATCATTTTAATATTTCACATCATTAACATGCAGGAAACAGGCTTGGACCTGGAAATATAAGTAGCAGAAAGGACTTGCTATAAGGGTTTCAACCAGTATATAAGCAACTGCATATCAGAGCAATACATTTTGGAAAGAAAACATGCTGTTACTCTTCATTCCTTTTATACAGTCATTGTAACATTCATACCAAATACAATACTCATTTTCTTTTAAATAAAACAAAACATGGAATATTAGTAGGGATGACTAGTGACAAGATCAAAGACAAGACAGAAATGATTTTAAATGGTTCAGCCACACACATACCATTTCCTATAAAACTTCCATAAACATTAACAAAAAATGGGAATCATCAGAGAGACAGGGGGACCTTAAGAACAGCCTCTGGGTGGGTGTTAAATTCATTTGACACCTGTAGCACCTGCATAAGAATCAACTCATTTCTATTCATAGAAATGTTATGGATGTTGAATAGAACTGTTATTTGCAACTAGTGAAAATGTAAGTTGGGACATAAAGGAAATTACTTCCCTATTTTTAGTTGAATAATAAATGGACAAAAAGGAAGAACAGATCCTTCTACTTAGTATGATGACAATCCCACAGCATTTGTAAAATGAATTAGTAAAAATATCAGGGGAAGTTATCTTGGACACGGGAAACAGACTAGTTAAATAATTTACTAACAAAACAAGGCATATGTGAACTAGTCATTTTCTGATTTGTTAAGAGCAAAAGGAAAGCAAAATGTCTCTGAATTAATTATAAAGTAAATAAATACTTAAAAAAACTTCTTTTGTTGCAATTTTTCTCAGGAGCCAATAACCTTCCATTCTAATAAGGAAGGAATGTGCCTTCGATGTCTAGGTTTCTAGCAGTGCCTTGCTTTCTGATGAGAAACTCAAAAAGACCAGTCAAAATTTCTAGATTGTCTGGATCTGAGGTGTTACTTAGAGTTCACAAACAGTAATGGGGAATATTTCCAGCTGCAAAAATAAGCAAAGGAAACTGCAGTTTATTCTCTACCTAAAACGTTCCTTTGAACAGCTCCTTTTTTTAAAAGCAAGCAGAACATAGTATCCCCCTTCATCTTTGCTGGTTTTTAACCATACAGTCTACCGAATCCTCGTAGGGCACTCATCACTACAGTTTTCCTTGTGACCTCAGCGGTGACAAAAAGTAGATCTAGGAGGACATCTAGTGGTACTTTGTGAGATAACAGCTGGTTAAGAAGACGATGGACCGGAGGTTTCTTGACCAGCAAATGGTAAAAAAGGGTCCCACTACACTTAAGAATTGAAATGCATACAGTGTCATTTTAATTCATCAAGTTCTCATGATCCACAGCATGGGTAAAATAAAAGCAGCATTAAAGGACGACCAGACTGATTTGATCGCCTTTTAGCAATGCTGGTTAGCGTCATGAGACTGAAATATTGAAAGGACTTCCCCCAGCACAACTTCAGTTTCCGGAAAAATACAGCAGCATATCTTAAACTGTTTGTGGGAATTTATTTTCTCTTAACACAACAGGCAAAGCTATCTCGCCATTATTTAATTTTTACAGAACAACTTCAAGACCACCAAGTCAGCTTGTTCACTACCTTGCAATTTTTGCAATCAAAGGCAACTGGTTAGTTGTTTGCTACAATTCACACAGTGCTATTCTTTATCAAAACTGTAGAAACAGCAGGTGACCTGAGTGGACAATTTGCCCTATTTTAGTAGCTATAAGAATGACTCACAGGTTTTGAAGCAATGGCACATTTATAGACCAATTCATTTTAATTTTCCAATCTGATCATGACCTTTCCTTCATTACCTTAAAGACGACTCTCAGCCAGTGTACTCTCAAAGCTAACTGCATTTCTGAACAAACTGAAGCTATTGGGGAAATGGAAAAAAACAAGTCAAAGCTACATGACCTTTTCTATTTTAATACTGTCTTAGCATGAAGAGCTCTTCTGTTTATTTATTGCTATTTAAACTAATTTCTCTGGTCCAGAAAGGCCTCAACATAGGAACATATTTAAAATAAATACATTGCTTGAAATAAATCCAAATTACTTCCAGTATTTTGCCTCAAAGTCAATAGGATTCTTCATTTTATTCATAGAAATTAGTTTCTTTCTGGTTTATTATTAAGTATTGATTCTTATCATGCTGACCTGTTTCACAATCTGCTTTTCTGTGCTGCCCCATCTTTTTGCTGTGTCATTCTATTGGCTGAAAATACACCTTTGGAGAAATTTCTGTTCTCTGTTTGAATGCTTTCTACCACAACAGGATTTCAACCCTTTAGTGCACTTTGCAGGCACCACAATAAGATAAATAGTAAATAATGATAATCATAATGAAGGCCATCGCAATTCCAAGGTGACTAGCACTGTATCATGCAACTCCAGGAGTGTCAACTTTTCCTTGATTCTTTGCAAGATCCTATGGTGTGTACAATTGGGGGGGGGGGGGGGGGAATATCAATCCTGATTAAGTCCTGAAGTGTTATCACACAATAAATTCAGAATATCTGGTGAAATGTTGAAAAAGTCTCATAGCCTCACTTACTTAGAATAGCTGCAGTTATACAGTAAGGTTAGCAGCCTCAATCTGGTACAGTAATGCCTCACTGCAGCTATGAAATATTTGATCTCTCTTGCTGTTTGAAAGAACAAGCCCACATAATCCCAACACTGCCCTATACCAGGACATTTCTTTGCAGTGCTTCTATTTCTAAGCAGCAAATTCTTTCCATGTCCCAAATGCTGTGTTTATTTAAATTATCACAACTGTACACACTAAAAGTGGCTGATGAGAGCCTTCATATGTTTTGTACACTTTAAAGAGGTATGACTTAGATTGACATGAAGTGGTCTATAAAGTTTGTACTCTCTCTATATAATATAGTAAGACTTCACAGCTTAGATCCTGAAAAGTCAGTGTGGCTCTACTCATGTAATTAATTTCAAAACAAGCAAGCTGGGGAAAATAATCACTGTAGCTTGTTTCCTGTTGAAGATATCTGTAGGTCTATACGTTAAAAGTTAGCACACATTGAATTCATTGTCTGGCTTTACCCCCATCTCCTCATTTTTTTTTGCTAGTGGGGAGAAAGGAGTTAGATAAGGACAGTAAAAGGCTGCTGTGCTGCTCCCTGTGTCAGCTATGAAATGGAGAAGACAAAGTACAAAAAAATTGAACACAGGCAGGTCTGACAATGAATTGTACTTAACCAGGCAAACAGTGCTATAGTGGTAATTACCCCAGCCTAACCAATATCCCTGAAAAATCATGAGATATCTCTAGAATAATTTCAAAAAAATGCCATTGCCAAGATCTCATCTGCAAATAGGGATAAAAAATAAGGTTGTGGAAAAAAAAGGGACAAAAAGGTGCAAGAGGGGAAAACTGCTGTATTTTCTTCAACGTCACCCTAATCTCCGTGGGTGTAAACGATGAGAAACTCGTGGGTATGACGTCACTGCTACATGCAACATAAATAAAGAAAAGAACCAAAATACTGAACAAAAATACTCTCTGCTAGAGAAAGACAGGTTGGACCGCACTCTGGGCTACAGGGAACCCATTTTTACTCACAATAGATCACTATCAGTGTGCAGTTAAATTATAGTAGGGGCCGTGTTCCAAGGCAGCAAGAGGAAAAATAAATCAAAAGTTTGTCAATTGTCATAGATTACAAGAAATTCCTTCAAACACATCAATGTACACATGATATGTCCCCTCTGGGGTTCAACCCCACCGTTCACAGCAAGCACTGTCACTGGAAAAAATATATAGAGAATTAGACCATAGCTGTTGCACAAAATGAAAGAAACAGGAGGAGCAGGTCATCCAGTTTAGAGATTTCATCCCAACGTGGCTGCATTTTATATAAATGTATACATGTATATAGCCCCTTGCTGCAAAAACTACAGTTAAGTGGAATAGGAAAGAGATTGAAAACATTAAGAAAAAAATATTAACAATCTGTGAATAAAATTTCCACACCAGCATTTCTCTGGACAATGTGACATCAACATTCATATGTTTTTCAGGGAGCGGGATGGATAAGGAGAAAGGGATAGCAAAGAAACTGCAAGACGAAAGCGAGGTTACTTTAATTATCCCTGGCCTGGTGGAAACGTACTGATCTGCCCTGAATTATTAATATTAGGCCTAACAGGTTTGGACAACTGGCTATGTAGGTCAGACTCACGTTTAGACCCCAACAATACCACAAGCTAATGTTCAGACAGTATCTAAATTGATGAGCAACCTCAGATGCATTATTTAAATAATATGATTTTCAAGTGTCACAGGAAGCTGCATTAATTAATGCCACCATAATTAAGTTTTCCATGTAAAGATAATATTTCACATTTAATTCACCTGAATGTGTCAATATTTTTACATACAACCTTTCATTTCATCTTACATATTTTCTGCATTCAACTGCCTCTAATTGCTATGTTATTTGCTAATTAAAATACATATTCATCATATAGGACTACCTATACACATGTGTGACTATTTGAAATAGTGTCTTTGAAAATCAGATTGACAGATTAGCTGTTGACAGATCAGTTGACAGTTTCTTAATTCAAGAGGGAAAAGTTTTCTTAATTTATGCTTTGTTTTGGTTAGGCTGCATTTTTAAGAGCAATGATTTGTGTAGCTTACAGATGGATAACATAGTTAAGATTTTCAAAAGTGATTAGTGATTTGAAAGCTAAAGCTAAGATTTTACTGAATCACAGACTGCACTAAAGACTTACCTTTAAAAAAAATCAGGTCCCACAAAAGGGATCTCAAGATTGTCATCAGAATTTGAGAGACCAAAAATCACTAATTACTGTTGAAATTTTTCATTTAAATTTCTCGCTGATTGACAGAACTTTAAAAGCAAAGCAATTGTATTATTCCTAATAGTTGTGAGCATGCTCCTAAGTGGAAGCTGTTCTCAGTTGTACTGAGAGCTGCCAGCTATCATGGTATCTGTGACCATATGTGTGTGTGTCTGTAGGAAAGGAGAGGGGAGACGGCAAATGGTGGGAGAGGGGAGACAATGAAAGGGAAATTTAAGATTTTACTGACTGACCATTTTTTTTTTTTCCACCTGACTCAGAGGATTCCCTCCTTAGTGTTCAGTGCTCACTGCAGCAGCTCTGACAGCCGCCTCCTTCAGCCTCACTAACCCTATCATTTTGTTTCTTCATCTGTCCAACACCCTTTCATTTATTGGACTGATATGTGTGACCATGCCATTTGGAACATTTCCTAGTGCTATACACAGAAGTTGTCACTCTCACCTCTCCATGGCCCTACTGCTGGTAATATATCCATTGTGTTGGCTGGGTCACAGGATACTCTGTTTTCTCCCTGGTTTCCTAGCACTGAGCAGGTTACACTTATTTTCATTCATGTATAATAAAGGGCTCTTGCCCTTTATACTGTGAACTCCTGATTGCTATCTTCTAACAGATTTCAATGAAAAGTGTAGATCTCACATTAAAATGATAGATCTTTGGGAATTCTTTTTTTGTTTTTTTTTTTAATCAGCACATGTGTGAAAAGCATATACTATGTGAAGGAGGAGCAGAGAAGAAAATACAAGTTTGCTTTTCTGACAGAATGAGATAAAATTAAACAGGTAACATATTTCTCTTTAACTGCTGGGCAATTTGGAAAAAAAAATTGGTTTGAGAGTTACAGGCACCCTGAGGCATCTGTAACTGGCTTTACCAGAACTTACTCAGCAACCTCATTGGCTTTGGCAGCAGTTCAAAGGTCACATTCTCACATGGATAAACTGTTCTTGAACAATTCTTTTCCAATATGTTAGGCAATGCATACATTCCTTCCACATCAGGCATGCTTTCCATGTGCTTTGCTCTCCTTGTGGCTACTGGGAGGATAAACACCATTTTCTGTCAGTGTTTCAGCTGCTTTCTCTCAATTACACTACTTTGTTCCACAGTCCTGGTTTTTTGGTTTTGTTTTTTTGGGTGGGTCTTTTTTTTTTTTTTTTTTTTGGCGGGGAGAGGAGTTCCTTTAAAAACTCTAGTGATGTATTTTTTCTTTGTAAAATAATCTTCAAGAATTCATCAATTTCAGGCACCTCTTAAAGGCAGAGAAGGTTTAGTTTAGGCTTTCTTCCATCCTCTAAGACAGTGCAGTGATAACACTATGACTGGATCTATAAAAAAGAGGTTTTTTTCCTTTTTAAAAGTGATGGTAAAATAGACATGATTAAACTCTTCTGAGATCTTTCAATTTACCTAATCAGTACTTTTGAACTGAATGATCTTTTTCATGGTGGAATACCCTAGAATGTATATAAATATTCAGATATCCATTGAGAAATGGATCCCTAAATCCTTTTGATATTAGTATTACAAATACGCATGGGTCAAACACATCTTTGGCCAAAATGTGGTTGTGTGAGTTCCTGCAAAAAGTTCTTTCAAAGTATATATAGATAAAATGCTAATTTCTATATATTTATTCAAATACAGATGCAAAGTCTGATCTCAATTCCAAAACTCAATTATTTCTTTATGCAAAATTTTCCAAACAATTTAAAAAGCAGACTTAACAACTTAACTAAACCAAATATTACCATTACAGCTATGGAATCTTCTAAAAGGATATACATAAGAGGCACTAATATTTAGTTTCTTCCAGACAATCCCTTCCTCCAGTAAAACTGGTTGTTTATTTAAATAATGATTTATTTCAATAGTTACATGATGCAATCTCATTCCCCAGTTTCTTCTTCTACATAATCATGTTCAGCAAGATAGACAAAAGTTCTTTGCTTTACAGAAAACTATTGAAATTCCTGGATTTCTGCATGGTAAGAGCAGAACTTCACTGATCACTCATTCTTAACTCAGAAACCTCCACAATTAGATCTAGCTTGATTTAATTTTTCAGGTTTTGTTAGCTTTGGACCCTAATGGACTTTTTAATGAAGAAACAGGTGTGAGTGGTGTGAAATGTAATAAGAATATATGGACTTCAGAAATGCAAATGGCACTTACTACGTTGTTGTGCATTTATTTCTTAGCTTTTCTGTACCACTGTGTCAAACATGTAAATGCATGTACAGATAGATATTCTTCAAGGCTGAACAGTTCATGAAAAGGAGAGGAAGGGAGCGATAGCAATATTACTTACGCCGTTTGCAGCCACATTTTTTTATCCTTTTGGGATCCGTGATGTCATCATGACAGGCCTTGCAGTAAAAAAATGCCCTAGAGAGACAGAATGGAAAAACTGACACATTTCTTAATCCATACAAATGAAATTAGGCCCACATTTCTTCTTGTTGCAGTGCCAAATTAATGAAACATGCCAGCACTAATTTCCTTTAATCTTTGAAAAGGTTTAGACATTTAAAGTAGGAAATATTTGCTGCAAGACCATTAATTTCAAACATAAGACTCCAAATTAGTGTTTCTTTTAATATACTTTTATTTGAAAAGTAATTGGGAGAAGGGATGATAATTATGACATAGTGTATCAGTTCATTTGTCTTTCATCTTAGAAAAAAGAGCATCCAATGAATTTTGTCACAAAAATATATATAACATGAACTCTCTGTTCTTATTGGATATACCAGCTACTTTTTTTTGGGGGGGGGGAAAGACTGTCTAGCAATTTTTCAACCTGGTCACAAGTAGGATTTAATTTTGGGTACAATGAGAGATTGCAATGAGAATGTGACAATAACATCAGATATGCTATTTACAAAAAACAAACAAACAAACAAAAAACCTCAACCAAGACCAGAAAGGGAAAATCCTATCCAAACAAGTTCCTAAAGGAACATATAAATGAAAGAACTTAAATACTCTTGATTCAGACTATTTTTTTGTCTTTTATATTGGAACAGAGCAGAACCATTTTGGTTTTGAACAGACAAAAGCCAAAATTTCAATCAAAAATAGGCCATTGACCAGGTGAACCATCTATGTTTCCATTTATTGCTTTGGGTTATGAACTTCTACTCTTGTATCAAATGGCTCACCACTAGGTGAAACACAAAGAGAACTAAGGAAGTGAGAAAGGGTAAACATTTGACTTTTATATAAGATTAAAACAAAATTCAAAGTTAATAAATATGCATCAGACTGCCCACAGGAGAGTTTAAGCATGCCTGTCAAGTCAATATGTCACATAAGGCTGCTGTGACACATTTCATGAAGATCACACAGCTGGCCTCTAGCTGGACAGTTACAGTTTCCCAGGATTCTTGCTGGCATAACAAATTAAACATATTTTTCAACCTGCTGAAATTTCCCTGTAGTTATCCATATTCAGGATATGTCAGCTCCATGCCTATCTTCCCAACCCTCTCTCGTTACATACTTCTCAACACAAATCGGCAGTAAGAACCAAAGGCGCTACTTTGCAACCAGCCATGGATTTTGCTGACAGTATCGTTCCTAGATTTAGGATGGCTGGATTGCTACCACAGGATGGAGGTCACTGGAACAGAACAATTTACAGTCCAAAATATAAAAAGAAAGATGAACAATATTAATACATAGCCTCTGACAACTCAGCTAGGATGTGTTAGGTTAAAATGGTTGGCCTGGATGATCTTAATGGTCTTTTCCAACCTAAACGATTCTATGATTCTATGATGATCACTACTAATTCTTTTTAGGTTAATTAGACAGTGTCCACCAGAGGCGGAACTATATTAAAGGAAATGTTCAGAAATATAAACTAGATAAATTTGTAACTATTTGAAGTAGGTATCTAAGTTATTTTACACCTCTGAATAATGGCCCAGGTAAAGCGGCCCATCAGGAGAAAGGTAGCAGGTCTAGCATATGAGATATGGACCAGAGAATACAAATTTAAATTTGCAGTAAGACCTTACTGAATGTTGTTAACATTTCTAAAATCAAGATAGCATGCAAGCTACTGATGGAAGATATAAGTCCTAAATGTAGCAGACTTAATTTCGCTAAGAAACTTCCAGGAAGATTACTCTTTCAGAGTGTGAAATTGTCTTCCGTCCTGGTTTCAGCTGGGATAGAGTTAATTTTCTTCCTAGTAGCTGGCATAGTGCTGTGTTTTGGATTTAGTAGGAGAATAATGTTGATAACATGCTGATGTTTCTAGTTTGCTAAGTAGCGCTGACACCAGTCAAGGACTTTTCAGCTTCCCATGCTCTGCCAGGTGCACAAGAAACTGGGAGAGGGCACAATGAGAACAGTTGACCCAAACTGCCCAAAGGGCTATTCCATACCATATAGCATCATGCTCAGTATACAGACTGAGGGGGTTGGCCGGGGAGCAGCGATCGCTGCTCGGGA